AAAAAAAAAAATCAGCAATGCAATGCAAAAAGTTCTGCAATATGATGCAAAAAATTCAGCAATGCGCTGCAAAAAGTTCTGCAATGTGCTGCAAAAAAAAAATCAGCAATGTGATGCAAAAAGTTCTGCAATATTCTGCATGATTTAATCCGTTGTAAGAACCAGAGTGGCATAGTGTTTTGCGTGTTGGGCTCCGACTCTGGAGACTAGGGTTCAATTCCCCTCTCAACCATGAAACCCATTGGGTGATTTTGGGCAAGTCACATGCTCTCAGCCTCCGGGGAAAGCAATGGCAAACCTCATCTGAACAAGTCTTGCCAAGAAAAACCTGTGATAGGGTCACCATAAGCTGGAAAGGACTTGAAGGCACCCAATAACAACAAGGGTGATATATTGCAGGTTTGGTATATCATCCGGACAGTTCATATCAGAATTGTGGATTGGGTCCTGCATCGTCCGGACTGTTTGGACGTATTATTTGGCCAATGTAGTGACCAGGCCACCTCTTCTCTGGGCAAGCTTTGACTTTGCTGAGGTTCTCATTCCACAACAGAAGGATGCTCATGGTTGACGTCTGATTTACAGACTCATTACAGATATCCTCTTGGATGGTTATCCCTCACTTGGTAGCCTGGGACCAACATTTTCCTCTCCTCGATTATGGTTTAGAAGGAGATAGGACTGTGCTGATTAAGGCTAATGGGATCCGGAGGAACTCTTACCATGACGATAGCTCCCAAATAATCTGATTTCACTATCATAATAAGTCAAAGAGCCCTTTTATCCTTTGGATGTAAAAGGAGGGGGGGGGAGGAACCAGTGACTCTTTGGACTCTTAAATTATTTCAGCCTCTTTGAAAGCCGGCGGCGATCTGAAACTCCTTCCCTGTCTCCTTCGTTGATTAAGTCACCGAAAGGATGCCGTGCATCCATTGATTTTTATTTGAGCCTGATGACGATTGTTGAATGCATCCCAGGCTTGCTTTTAATTTGCAGCCCTGCTGCGGAAGTGCTTTTGCAAGAGACTCACTCCAGTTAAGAGGGAAAGAGTGACCACAACCTCCTTGGAAATACTGTGTTAAAATCATACACCAGAGGAAAAGAAAATGATAACTAGAGGCTCAGTGCCATACACCCTAGAATATGGTAAAATTGCCAGTTTTGAAAACACTGTTTTGAATTCTTTTAAATGCACTCCATGGGGATATTTTTACTACACACACACACACATTGTTTTGGGGCTTCCAGACAAAGGTATATTAAGGTGGTTGGATTCCCTGGCACACCTTCATCATTGGCTATCCCTTTGTTTACTTGTGTGAGCTATTCTAGGAGAGTGACATAGATGACTAAAATACAAAGTACCGTTGTTGTTGTTGTTGTGTGCCTCCAGGTTGTTTCCGACTTTGGCAACCCTAAGGTGAACCTATCGTGGGGTATTCTTGGTAAGTTTCTGCAGAGCAGGTTTGCCATTGCCATCCTCTGAGGCTGAGAGTGTGTGACTTGACCAAGGTCACCCAGTGGGTTTCCATGGTTGACCGGGGGATTCTAACCCTGGTCTCTAGAGTCATAGTCCAACACTCAAACCATGAAGGCCTTCTGGCTCACCGTCCAACTATCCTGATTTGAAACAATCCAATGGTGCTGAACACTAATTCCCAAATCGGTTTAACAGTTTAGAAAACACTTTTGAAGTTTTGGCTCAGAACCAGGTGAGATTCACTGCACCAACTGGTTCTCTTCCATCCACATAACATGTCCATTATACTGTGATCATTATTACACAATGAAATCAATGGTTTCTGGCGGTTCCCATGTATTAGAGCAGTGAATGCACTCTGAGGGTAGAAAGAGGGTACCAAGGTCCTAAATCTTCTGGGAGGAATCGAATTCAGCACCTTGGCCAACTCCTTTGAAATTCTAGTCTAAGCCCCACTGACCTGAAAGCTATCTGCCCACCAAAGCAAAACTTCTCTGGTAAAATAGCAAGCTTGATCCAGAAGCCAAAGTAGTGAACAGCATGGTAATGTTGTTAGGACTGAAGCAGTTCGATTACACAGTATAATAAAAGCCCAAAGCAATTCAACCCCTTTCAAGTGCTCAAACCCGATTTCTCATAAAGTCGTAAAAACCTGTTTTCCCAGACAGCCCTGTTGTTTTCTCTTGTACCAGGCATTCCCATGGAACTAACGGACTTTGGCAATTCTTGGTGCCCTATGAGTGCCAACATGGTGTAGTGGTCTGAGCATTGGACTAAGACTCTGGAGGCCAGGGTTTGAATCCCAGCTTGGCCATGGAAACCCACTGAGTGACCTTGGGCACGTTACACTCTCTCAGCCTCAGAGGATGGCAATGGCCAATCCCTTCTGAAGAAACTTGCCAAGAAAACCCTATGGTAGGGTTGCCATAAGCCAGAAATGATTTGAAGGCACAGAACAACAACAACAACAGCAACAAAATCTCCTCCCCTTCCCATCTGTTCATTAATAATCCCCAAGAGAGATAACCATTCCCTGGCACCCAGCACCACCAAAGGCATGGCATATCCCAGCATCCAGTCGCATGAAGCGAAACATGGAAAGCCTAAATGGCTAGCAAACATGGCAAGGATTTTGAGGACTCGGCTCCAGACACGGGATGAATTTGGCATGTCCTTACCCACTGTAACTTTTATTCCTAATTTTGGATGGTGACTGTTCATTGTTCGTTTCTGACTCATGGCAACCCTAAGTCAGACTTATCCTGTCCAATGTTCAAACCGCTCATTGCACCGTGGTGCCTCATCCGCTCTTTGCTCACATCAAAAACTCTCTGAATTGAAGGATGGCTCTCTGGAGGGAGATGGAAGATGGCCTTCCCGGCGAGTGACACGCTCCCTTTGTTGCTTGAGTTGAAAGATGACTGCAGACTTTGATTCCGCACTACTCCGTTTTGCAAAATGGGGGCTTCTATTTTTAGGAAACCTGTCTGCAGCTGTGTTAAGCAGACAGCTGCACAGTCCTTAGGTCTTGTTGTAGGGGAGCGATCTGCTACCAAACAAGAACGATGCACCATGCCTCTAGCAGAAGATGGGATGTGCAAGTGAAATTGCCTCTCCGGCGACAGTTGCAATTCCATTTTTTATTGTGGAGGAGAGGAAGGGAATGGTCCAGGGACAGTTTCCTTTGTGAAAAGTATTTGATCCTTGGACAAGACAATGACAATGGCTCTAAATCTACCCTCTCCTTGAAGATGCTGGTCTTCATCTATTTGGCATGACAGCTCCAGTCATAAAGAGGGAGATGTGTAGCTGTTTTGTCCTTTCACTCTGTCCCAGCAAACCAGGGGAGGGAAGCTGTTTTGCTGACACTGTTCAACACAACACTCTTGTTGTTTTTGTTGTTGTTATTTTGTTGTTGTTTGCCTTCAAGTCGTTCCCGACTTGTGACAACCCTAAGGCACAAACCCTTTCTCCGTGTTTTCTTGGAAAGTTTCTTCAGAGGGGGTTTGCCATGGCCATCCTCTGAGGCTGAGAGAGTATGGCTTGCCCAAGGTCACCCAGTGGGTTTCCATGTCTGAGCAAGGATTCGAACCCTGGTCTCCAGACCAGGGTCATACTCCTACTTTCAAAACCCTAAGAGCCCTGACATGTGAAAGGAAATGCTGCTTTGTGTTTGCCCTTAAATATTTTGCAGATGAACCCTGGAATCCTGTTGGAGAGTTGCATTTTCATAAGTGGACTTACATCTATATTTGGCACTGCTTTAACTGCCGTGGCTCCATGCTATGGCACTCTGGGATTTGTAGTTTGATGAGCTATCTGGCCCTATTTGTCAGAGTGCTCTGCTGGCCCACCAAACTACAAATCCCAGAGTGCCATAGCATGGAGCCATGGCTGTTAAAGCAGTGTCAAAGTGCCTTAATTCTGTACTGCGGCAGCAACCTTAAGATAGTTACATGAATTTAGGATTTGTATCCAGGTTTCTCCACTCTCCACTTGAACCCACGGATGGAAAATTATTTTTATCCCTCCTTTCTCCTCAAGGCAGTTTACAAATTAAAAGAAATGCAATGCTGTTGAAAGTACTAAAAAGTTCAGCATTAAAATGTTGCAGCTCTTGCATGGCTTCAAGTCACTCCCAATTTATGACAACCCCTAAAACAAACCTAGAGGGACAGGATGGTGTATTGGTTTGAGCGTTGGAAGTGGACACTGGGAGACCAGGTTTTGAACCCTGCTTGGCCATATAAACCCAAAGGGTGACCTTGGGCAAGTCACACTCTCTCAGCCTCAGAGGAAGGCAACGGCAAACCCTCTCTGAAGAAAACTTGCCAAGAAAACCCTGGGATAGATTCACCTTAGGGTCGCCATCAGTTAGAAATGACTTGAAGGCACGCAACAACTACAACATAGCTATAAATAAACCATACAAAATGAATGTATAGTTATACTGTCCTTTTGGAATGTCCTCCGTTTTTCCGGACACCTTCCATTTTGCAGTGCCTTGCCTTGCAATCATAATCATGAGGTTTTCTTGACCAGGTTTATTCAGAGGAGGTTTGCCGTTGCCTTTCTCCGAGGCTGAGAGAATGCAACTTGCCCAAGGCTACCCAGCGGTTTCCGCATCTGGGTAAAGATTTGAACTGCATTATTTCTGCAGTGCAGACGCAGCCAGGGTTAATTGGGGAACTTTTCCCGGCTTGCAGAGGTTGAGTCCGGAGGCCTTTGAATGACGACCTCCTGAGTTTCTGTTATTAGCTTCAAGTGCTTTGTCTTCCTTTAAAACCACACAGCAACCATTTCAGAATCCAAAGCCGGGCAGAGGTGAGCTTTTGAACAGCATCCGACGGAGCGGCACACAATGCAGAATTATAGCGAGTGATTTGGGATCAAGGATGATGCCCAGCAATTTGGAAGGCGCTCGCACGAAGCCCGATGACCGATAAGAGAACAGGTAGCGTGATCCCATCTTCTGATTTCTCTGCTACAGAGAGAACCAAGAAGGGGGCTTGAAGGCGGAACAGGATTTATTTTTTAAACGGCAGCTAAAGACTATGGCACAAAGGGGGATATTTCTTAACATTTTGTTCCCAAAGACCTCATAGAGTTGGAGGAAAAAAAATGACGTGATTATCTTATCGATTCTTCCTCTTGCTTCACATTTTTTATCCCGGTTCTCTCTCTTGCTGCTGGTGGTGGTGCTTTGTTTTATTTGTCATTGTTACCTAATCATTTGATTATCATCTTTTAAGGGAAAGTGCCGCTTGGGTCCAAAGGGCAGAGTGAAAGTCAATGGACAGCATTGTCCAGTTTGTGGCTAGTTAGAAATAAGCCGCATTGAGTTCGTGTCAACGCAAGGCAGGTTGGGCCTCATCCGCACTGCAGAAGTAATGCAGTTTGACACCACTTTAACTGCCATGCTATGGACTTCTGGCTTTTGTAGTTTGTTGTGGTGCCAGAGCTCTCTGACAGAGAAGGCTAAGCATCTCACAAAATTACAAACCCCATAGCATTAACTCATGGCAGTTAAAGTGGTGTCAAACTGCATTGGTTCTGCAGTGTAGAAGCAACCAGTAACCCAGAGCAGATTCATTGCCTCACTGACATGGCAGCCACTACTATCCAGATCAGGGGTAGGCAACCTTTCCCCTTTAAGGGCCGAGGGACTTCAGCTCCCAGAAGCCTCAGCCATGTTGACCAGTAGCTCCTGGGATGCTGGGAGCTGAAGTCCCTCGACCCTTAAAGGGGAAAGGTTGCCTACCCCTGATCCAGATGTTATGGGACTACTATTCCCATTGACTATCAGCCAGTATGGCCAATGATGGGAGTTGCAATCCACCAACTATCTAGATGGCTGCACTTTGGCTACCCATAAAGGATGACTAGGATCTTAATTTTTAAAATGTGGAAGTGGGAAATTCCCAAAAGCCATCTACTGCTGCTACTCCCAATGGCTGAGATTTTTGGTTAAGGGGACAGAGCATTAACTATTTGACAGCAGTTACACAACAATTGCACAATGCTGCCCCATTATTGAATTGTGACATTGTCCAATTGAATGCACAGCTGTATGCACAATGCACAGTCCGAATCTTCATTTGTGGTGCATGATCTGCAGTGTAACACTTTCTACAACCATGAACTGAATCCTGATGTTCCACATGGGATGAAAATGTCCAACAATGGTGAATAATAATAATAATAATAATAATAATAATAATAATAATAATAATAATAAATTTTATTTTTATACCGCCCTTTAGCGAACCAACATCCGGGCGGTTTACAGCATTAAGAACATACAACATAAACAATATATTTCCCTCTCCCCTTAAAAAGTTATTAAACTATATATCAATTAAGATCACAATAACATATTAAAAACAGAAAATAATACCAACAATTTAAAGTGTAGGGCCATGGTGTGTAGAACAGAAATCTGGTCCTTGTATGCTGGCTACACATTTGTGTCTTGTATGAGACTCTGCCAGCCTAAATCAGAAATTACACAACAACAACATGAGACTCTAAGAAGTTTGGTAGATTAAGCCAGTTTTAAAGAGAGATTAGGGAAAATAATGAATTATGCTTTTTCTGGCTGATCATCAACATAAAAAAAAAAAAAAACTTTGCTCCTTTCTATGAAAATAGGAGCCTCCCTTCCTTTACTGAAAGAAAGCAAAGATGAATTCTGGTAAATACTCGGAGCAGAATCTGCCATTAAGGAAGCAGTGCAGCCAGACAGGAGGCATTGAGGACCATTGATATACTACTCTCCCATTACTCATCTCCAACTGATCTTATTAATTTTCACTCTGAACGTTGGGCTGCTTATGCTCCCTCCTCCATGAGAAATTACAGAATGGATGGAATGGTGAAAGGGAATAATAAAAATAACTGGAGATATTAAGCCTCCAGCCACTCAATGCGCAGGGAGTTGGTTCGTCACTATTCCAAATTTTCATTAGCCGGTCGGTCATCAGTCAGATGCAATCGGGTTTTGTTATAACTCATCCTCTGCAAAGGCAGATATTGTTCCAACTGATGATCAGGCTAATGTTCCCTTCTCTTCCCAAAGCAGTACACTGGCAGAGCATTATGGCAAGGAGAAAGAAATCTGCCTCTCTCTCTCTCAGGGAAGGGAATCATGCAGTCCTCCAGATGTCTTTGCTCTGCAGTGCCCATCGTTTGTTGCCCTTGGCTGTGGGACCTAGGGCAGCTGGAAGCTACAGTTCAACAGCATCTGGAGGCTCCGTCTGTCTGTCTGTCTGCTTACCCACCCTTCTGTCTTTCCATCCATCCACATATCCACC